GCGGGGGTTGTATCCCCGGAACACCGGAAACGGAAACTTGAGCCGCGGGGCGGTTGCGGGACGGTCGCGGGGCGGCGCCCTGCTGTCCCCGCGGGACGGGCGGAAGGGCCTCCCCGCCACGGCCGCTGGGCGGGCGATAGCAGCTCCCGTGTCTCCGGGACAGCGGGCAGCGGAGGGTGGCGAACTATATTGCAATGAAGGCCGATGACTGGCGAGGCGGCGGGCGGCACCAGCGCACACGGGAGCCCGACAACGCAATTTACGACGTACGACAACACCGTTTAAATACTGTTACGTAAGGCGGGGGGGATTCCTCTACATGTGAGCAGACCGAGCGGAAAATTGTACACGCGACATCGTGGCAAAACTTGGCAAAAAGTCGAAGGGCGTAGTGTTGTGCGGACCGAAAACTTTTTTTTCTCCCTTACGACTTCTTTTTTTTTTCCCCTGCCAAGAAGTTTGTCCTCCAGCGCGCGGGAGCGCAGCCGGCCCAGCAGCGCAGAGCGCCGCGCCGAGCCTGTTATTGTCCAGTTCCGCTGCGCCCCGCCCCGCCCCGAGACAAAATTAAAAATTCCCGAGTTGGTCCAGACTGATAAGGCCTGCCTCCCCGGCCCGCCCCGTGGGATTATATGATCCGTCGAACTAAGAGGGGAGCAGCGCCTTGCGCCTTCATTTATTTATTGTTGCTGCAGCTGATATCAGCTGCGGAGGCTGCGGAGCTGCAAGACCGAGCCGATGGATGAGATGAGATGACAGTGTTGACTTTTTATTCCCACGCGTCAACGAAAGTTTGAGAGTCTCATTCAAAATTTTAATTTTACCATATTGATAAATATTGTCGGGTTGGTGCGATTACGTTCGGGTAGGGGCAGTGAAAAAGTCAGGGCACTGAAGACAGGGGATCAGAGGGCAAAAGGGTTCATTTTTTGTAGATAGTTGCATCGTTATATTAAAAAAATCACAGATATTTCTCTGCATAAAGAGCACGATTAGCTCGCAGAACAGAGCTATTCCTGTTTTAATATCTGCAAAATTGTGTTCAATAAAAAATAGATCTAATCTCATTTAACTTCTTTACTCTTCCAAAACTCAACAGGTAAAGTATGAATTCTATGAGACCCGATACAAAATTGTAAGAAAATGCAAGTGACAAGGGGGAAAGAAATCACGCGTGTATGAAACGGTTACCGATGTGCCACATTTTCATATCTGATCATCATTCCCAACACCCTGTTAGAGCACGTCCGACCCCTTCTGTTCGCGCTCAACGGCTTCTCCTGCGTTCGAGGGCGAACCGGTGGAGCCAAACATCCGTTACCGCACCGATAGGGGTGGGGTGGCAAATGTCAAGTCGCGCACACAAACAAACATTTGCAGGTTAGGGGCCGCCGCGCCGTGCAGACACCGACGCAGCCTGACGCCGTGCCAGCATGGAGTCATAGAG